AGGAAGTTTCAATATTTGACATCTTCAAATAGATTAAAGGGAAAATAAAAATAAAACAATAAAAAATAAAATAAATAAAGTGAAATCACTTATAAACATTGTATATATAGGATTTTTTTTTCTTTGGTTTTTTTTACTACCCTCTATCTTCTTTAAAATTTCATTTTTTTTTCCAAAAGAAAAACCTACATTATTCCTTTTTTATATGTATAGAAATTAGCATTATTTAATTTTGTATTTTCTTTTGAAGAAAAATCTTCTTTCTCCATTTCATTAAAATGTTTGATTTTCTCTTCCAACTGTTCTATATTATCAATGATTTCTTCTTGTACAAGAAAAGGATTTCCTAAATTATCACATTTAATAGTATTGTCTGTATTTAATTTTACATCATCAAGCATGTTAGTAAATTGAATATATTTTAGTAAATGTTTTTTTAAATTAACTATTTCTTCTTCTGTCTTTTGAATTGGTAAACTTGACAGTTTCAACAAGTTTTTGATATCTAAATCTATACTCTCTGTACTTGCCTTTTTTGAATCATATCTTTGCTGAAGACTGTTATCTTTTGATGAATTGTAGATAAAATTTATCAGTTTATCTGATGTGTCAATCTTATTAAATCTTTTAGCATTTATTGATATAAAGAAATTAGATGATTTAAAAAGTTTTGATACAAGCATTTGAAAATAATATTCAGTTGTTTAATGTTTTTTTTCTTTTTTGGTTTTTATATAAATTAAAGTAGAAATCAATTAAAATTATTATAACAGAAATTTTAAATGTTTTTTTTAACAAATTTCATCCGAGTCATGTGATAAACTCACATTTCTTTTTACAAAAAAAAAATATATATATATATATATCAAAAAATCACTATATAATATTGCCTGTTTAGGACATTTTTTTCACATATTGAAGATTGAACTATTTCTTTTTTTTTTCTTTTTCTTTATTTCAGGTTTAATAATTTCTTTTTATAATTAAAATTAATATATTAAATACACTTTTTAAAAAAAAATAAGAAAATAAATTTTAAAAAATAGTATATAACCCAACCATTAGACTTTAATATTAATAAAAACCAACAATGGCTAGAATTTTAAAAAGACATACCAAAGGTAATGTTAAAAACTTCATTACTAGAACACAAGCCATCAGAAAATTACAAATCTCTTTGCAAGATTTCAGAAAGTTATGTATTTTCAAAGGTATTTACCCAAGAGAACCAAGAAATAAAAAGAGAGCCAACAAAGGTTCTACTGCTCCAGTAACTTTCTATTACTACAAGGATATTCAATACTTGCAACATGAACCTTTGTTAAACAAATTCAGAGAACATAAAACTTTTATGAAAAAATTGACTAAATACTTAAACAAAGGTCAAGTACATCAAGCTCATAAATTAAATGACAACAAGGATGCTGGTTTTGTAGGAAACTGGGATTTGGATCATATTGTCAAGGAAAGATATCCATCATTCAATGAAGCTTTAAGAGATTTAGATGATTGTTTAAATATGTTATTCCTTTTTGCTAACTTACCAACCACTGATAATAAAATTAACAACAAGGTTATCAAAGAAGCCAATAGATTGACTCAAGAATGGTTAACCTTTGTTACTGAAAAGAGATTGATTAAGAAAGTATTTGTTTCCATTAAAGGTGTTTACTACAGTTGTAACATAAAGGGTGAAGAAATTAGATGGACAATTCCATACAAGTTCCCAGAAAACATGCCAACTGATATTGATTTCAAAATTATGTTGACTTTCTTAGAATTCTACTCTACTTTATTGCATTTTGTTTTATACAAGTTATACACTGATAATGGTTTCATCTATCCACCAAAGATTTATGCATACAAATTGGTTACTGAAGAACCAAAGAATGTTAACATCGATAAGGAAGAATTGAAAGCTGGAAAGAATGTTGAAGGACATGATTTGAATGAGGAATTGAAGGAAAAAGCTTTGAACGCTGACAAAAAGGAAGAAGAAGAAGAAGAAAATGATGAAGAAGACAAAGAAAATGAAGATGCTTTAGATAAGTTTGAAGACTCTAACAAGAACAAGGGTGATCTGCTGCAACAACCAAGCAAATATGACTCTCCACAAGCCACATTATTTGAAAACTTCACTTTCTATATTGGTAGAGAAGTTTCTCTTGATATCATTCAATTTTTAATTCTAGCTTGTGGTGGTAAGACTATTTGTGAAGCTGATTTAGATATGTCTGAATTGAAGCCAGATTTGAGTCAAGTCACTCATCATATTTGTGATAGACCAGTTTTGAGACAAAGATTGGCTAATGTTGTATACATTCAACCTCAATGGATTTTTGATTCCATCAACAAAGGTGAATTGCAAGCTGCTAACTTATACTTGCCAGGTGAAAAATTACCTGCTCATTTATCACCATGGGGTGATGCTATCGGATATGATCCAACTGCCAACAATGGAGAAGAAGAAGATGATGAAGATGAAATGGATGCTGAACAAATTGCTGAAGAAGATGTAGATGTTGAAGAAGAAGATGAAGATTTGATCGCTCAAAAGGAATTGGAACAAGAAGCCAAGGGTGTTTATAAAGATACTGCTAACGCTGATGAAGCTAAGAAGAGTAAGAAGAAGGCTAAATCTGCTGAAGAAGAAGAAAAAGATATGAAGTTGGTTATGATGAGCAATAAACAAAAGAAGTTGTACACCAAGATGCAATATTCTAATAAGCAAAAGGATGATGAAATCAAGAAATTGAAACAGAGAAAACAAAAATTAGAATCCAAGAGAAAATAATTATTAAATAGAGATGTATATAAATAAAAACTAACATTTTTTACAGGAAAAAAAAATATATATATATATATATATAAATTTAAATCAATAATCTTGAATTCTACTATCCATTAATTTTCTATCAATAATGAGTAATGGGAAATGTTTTCCTAATTTTTGTTTAAAGGTTAATAGATTTTTTTTAATTAATGCTATGTAATCAAAATCTTGAAAATTCTCTAATAGTGAAAATATCTCCAATATAAATCCTCCTTTTTCCATCATACTGTCAATTTTAAATATTTTTATTATAAGTTTTAGTTCATGAACATTAAGAGTTTCACCTTTCTCTAAATAAGTATAATCTTCAACATAGCCAAGATCATGTAAGAATTGATTTGTTTTGTTTATATCTGTTTCATTTTCAGCTATCTCTAAAATGTTGTAGTTTTGAATTGTGACTTCATTGTTATTGTTTCCTGGTAGTGGAATATCATATTTAATAATGTCTTTATCATCTATAACCCTTATTCTATTCTGTTGGTCTTCATCTAATTCTAAACTCAAATTTAAAGGTTTGTATATTTTATGTTGATGAGAGTAATTTGTAAAGAAATTTGTATCTGGATTTATATTTGCAGCTTTCAAAATTGTTTCCTTAACAGTCTCTAAATGTGTTTCTGGAATCCCAGTAGCCAATGACAATTTGTAAACCATGCTTGCTAGTTTGTATTGATTGTTTGTATTTGGTATTTATTTTTGGGTAATTTTGTTTGTTTATTTGATTTAAATTATAATTTTTCTGAAAAAAAAAAAAATAATATTTGTAAAAAAAAAATTTTGGTCAAGAAAAAAAATATATATGAAAGCGGGAAAAAAAACAGCTTAAATATTTGGGGTTTTTTAGTCTCTTGGTATTTGTTGTTAATAAATGAGAAACACTTTATAGTAAACCATAATTTAGCATATTTTATCTATATATCTATCTTCATATACATATATAAACATTATTATGGCTGATATTCCAAGATCTGTAGTTGTTAAACTACTAGTAACAACTGTTTCAATGATTTTATTGCCATTATTAACTTTCTTTGGTTCTCAATTATACATTCAAAACTCTGTGGTCAACGGTGGTTTAGCTGCTTTAGCTGCAAATATTGTTCTGATATCTTACTGTGTTATGGCATTTACTGAGAAATCAGATGAAAAGATTAAAGAAAAAAAGGAACAATAAATATCATTCATTGTGGGAAAAAATTTAGTTACTATCTTATATAATATATATATATGTGTGTGTATATAAATTTATTTTAATCATTTATAAAGTAGAAAAAAGAAAAAAAAAAGCATATCAACAAAAATGTAAAATATATTTCTTTAATTAAATTTCTTGTTACTATCTTGGTTTTGTGTTTTATCTTCTAATGCACCATATGATATGCCTATAGAACTAGTTGCCTTTATAGCTATCACAACAATAAATATTAAAAGTAAAGAAACAAACAAACAAATGATCAACCCTTCAGTCCAGAAATCACTCAATATTGGTGTTAAATCATCAATTGGTTTAGTGCTTGTAGATGTTGCTGATGTAGTAGAACTAGCTGTAGTTGTGGCTAAAGCAAAGGTTATATGTAAAAGAGAAAAGACTGTTAATTTAATTAATGAAAGCATTTAATGTTGTTTGTTTTTAAAGAAAATAGAATAGAATAATACAAAAGTTATCAATGGTTTACAGGAAATTTGTTATTTTATATATTTGTAAAAAGAGGATTTCAAAGAAAACTTAAAACTTTTATTATTATTTTTTTCAGCTTCTCATATTTTTCTTACAACCAAAAAAAAAAATTAAAAAAAAAAAACAGAACAAAAATTTATTTTATTTTATATGGTAGCGCTTATAAAAAAATAACAATTAAATTGTTAAAACAAAATATATTTTTTAACATATTCAAACCAAATATTTTAAGAATAACAAGTTTACAATATTTAATAATAATAAATAAAAGAAATATAGTGTAAACAGATACGTCTTAAATATAAACAAAAAATAAAATTTTAAAAAAACAAATCTTGGTTGCTAAGAGATTCGAACTCTTGCATCTTACGATATCCGAGTATTCCTACTGAGTAAGAAAAGCAAATTCTAATTACTTGAATCGGACGCCTTAGACCGCTCGGCCAAACAACCTTAAAATGTTTTTAGAAGAAAAGCCTTACAAAATGGTTGCTAAGAGATTCGAACTCTTGCATCTTACGATATCCGAGTGTTCTCAACTTAGTAAGAAAGTAAATTAATACTTGAATCGGACGCCTTAGACCGCTCGGCCAAACAACCTTGTAAAACTTTTCTGACGTTATTTTTTGCCAATCTATTTAGAATATTAAAATGAGGTATATGGAAAATTTGCTAAAAAATTTGAAATAAGTTAGAGCTAATTATTCTTATATATAAATAGATATTTTGAACAAATTTTCATTGTTGAAATAATATTGTTTTATTAACTTCAAAATACTTATTATCTTGTTTTTTGTTTCAAGGTACATACTTTTTTTCTTTGTATCATTTTAATTAAAAAAAAATTTTTATATCATAAAATAGTATATATATATATATATGTCTGGTATTTAGCAGTAAAAAAAAATATAACTGCTATTATCATATTAACAAGAAAAGTGAAAGAAGTAAAAGCAAACATGTTTAAGTTTAATACTCAGGAAAGAAATAGTATTGGTAATCTGCTGAAGTTGAATCATTTGTTGACAATTCATTACATCCATTAAATAATAGATCTTTCTTTGATGATGTAAAAAAAGAATCAATGCTGTTAGATTTATTTTTATCCATGCACTCAAAGAAGTTATTTGACTGATTATTGCATGATTCCATCCAATTTGAAAGAAGAAAATCTAAGGTTGATGATTTATCTTTTGAGAAAAAGTCAGTTTCAGTAGTAGAAAGTAAGCTATTTAGGGGACTATAATATGTATCTGCTTCATTTCCACTAGAACAAAATGATTCATAAAATTTGCATAAAGCAGGCGGTACATTTTGTGTATTTTGTTTCACTGAAAGCCAATCATTCAAATCTTTCATACTATCGCTATTGTTGTTGTTATTGCATGTTGTAACAGAACTGCAGTCATCTCCATTTTTTACTCCTTCAGTTATGTTATATTCAGTATCAATAATAGTATCTTTATAAGAAGTATAATCTTGAATTTCAGGTGAGGAAGGGATCAAGTGCTTATATATAGAAGACATTTTATTATTATTGATGTTGTTATTTTCTATTATTTGAAGCTTTTTCTTTAGCAAAATTTGATTTGCTTCCAGTTCCTTATTTCTCTTTTCTAAATAATTGCATTTTTCAATCAATTGTTCATATTTTTTTTGAGCTTTCTCTCTAAACTTTTTTTGAGCAATTTTATTTGTAAGTCTTTTACGAGGAGTTATTTTTGACAATTTTTTAGATGTGTTTTCCATGGTATGAATATTCTCAGTGGTTATTAAAATGGTATTTATATTAATTATTTTTAATTAAATGAATATATTTTTTTTCAAATGTGGGATTAATATTTTTGTAACCTTCTACTTATATATTAAAAAATAACATATAAACTAATTATGATTTCATAATTTAAAGGTAGTTCTTATATGTTATTATAATTTCCATATATATATATATGTGTATTTATTTTTAAAGATAAATCTAAAGGAAATAAATAGAGTGTTTTGGATGGGTGTTTTTTCTAATTTACTTCATTGCAAAAAAAAATTAAGCCCGTTTTTTTTTTGCTGTATAATGGCAATTTTTTTTTTAAAAAACGGGCTTAATTTTGGTATGATAATTTTTTTCTAAAACGGGCTTAACAATAAAAACAATAAAAACACAATGTTTTTTGAGACGGGCTTAACTTGTGTATATATGTATATATATATTTAGACTTTTTTTTAAAAAAAAAAAAATTGACTATGATTTGGGGGGGGGGGGGGGGTGAGAATTATTAAATTATTTATACTAAATATATATAAACAAATATTTAAAAGGAGTTGTAAACTTTCCATACATCCCATAAATGATTTACGTGTTTATTTTTATTTTATTATTACAGTTCTTTTATAAAAATTAAATTATATGTTGATTAACATAATGATATTAGGTAATGTTCAAATATAAACGATTTAAAAATAAATACTAATAATATTTCTAAGTTTTTTCGCGTTTTTTAATTTTAAGCTTTTTCCCCATATTTAAAAGTTTTTTATAAAAATATATATATTTTTTTTTTGTTTTAGTTTTTAAGTGAAAAAAAAAAAAAAACGGAAATTACAAGGAATTAAATGAAAAATCCTTAACAAACCACAAGGCCCAAAAGGGAAATGACAGGACACAAGGGGTAATTTTTTTTTCTTTTTTTTTAAATGTCCCGAAGAGCCTTTTGACTAAATTTCTTTCAGCACATCACTTTTTTTTTTTTGTTTAATACTTTGGTGTCTTTAAAAAATATTACAAATAAATTACTAAACAATAAATTTAACTAAAAAAAAACAAAAAAAAAACAGGATTATTATATTTTTCTTATATATACGTTAAATGATTATTTAAATAATTTATTTTAATTTTTCTTCTCCTTTTTTTTTATAAATGTGTAAATTGTTAATTAACCACGCTTTTATTTATTCATAATATATACTTTTTCTTGTTCTTTTTTTCAATTTAATTAAATGTCAGAAAATTCTGAAGTTGAATCTTTCACTATAAACAATGTGGATGGAAATATTAATGATGGAAACAAATATGATGGACGTCCTGATACAAACAGTATTCAATCTCTAGCTAGAACTTTCACTCAAATGTCTGCTGTCTCTAATACAGATGAAGTCTTTGATGTTCCTGTTGATGGTCCAGATAGTGTTCAAAAATATAATCCAAGATTAGATCCAAACAATGAGGAGTTTGATGCACATGCTTGGATGAGAAATTTAAATAGATTAAGATCTTCTGATCCTGAATATTATAAAAACACTTCTTTGGGCTTGGCTTATAAGAATTTATCTGCTTTTGGTGATTCTTCTGATGTTGTTTACCAAGGAACTGTGTTTAATGTTTTCCAAAAAGGTGCTGAATCCCTTTATAGAAGATTAAGAAAAGAAAGATCAGGTGATAAATTCACTATTTTGAAACCAATGGATGGTATTTTGAAACCTGGTACTTTAAATGTTGTCTTAGGTAAACCTGGTTCTGGTTGTTCCACTTTATTGAAAACATTATCTGCTTTCACTTTTGGTTTTGAATTGACTGATGATTCTATTTTATCATTTGATGGTTTAACATCTAATGAAATTAAAAACCATTACAGAGGTGATGTTGTTTATCAAGCTGAAGCTGATATTCATTTTCCTCATTTGACTGTCTTTGAAACTTTAAATAACATTGCTCTATTGACTACTCCAAGTAATAGAATCAAAGGTTTGAGTAGAGAAGATTTTGCCAAACATATGGCTGAAGCTACAATGGCCATGTATGGTTTATCTCATACTAGAAACACTAAAGTTGGTAATGAATTGATTAGAGGTGTCTCTGGTGGTGAAAGAAAGAGAGTTTCTATCTCTGAAATTTCTTTAATTAATGGTAAGATTGTTTGTTATGATAACTCTACAAGAGGTTTGGATTCTGCTTCCACTTTGTCTTTTATTAAATGTTTAAAGACACAATCTAAAACTTCTGATACCACTTCTGTTGTTGCTATTTATCAATGTTCTCAAGAAGCTTATGATTTGTTTGATAATGTTATTGTCTTGGATGAAGGTTATCAATTATACAATGGTCCAACCTCTGAAGCTAAAAACTATTTTATTAAAATGGGCTATTGTTGTCCTGAAAGACAAACTACTGCTGATTTCCTAACAGCTATTACATCACCATCAGAAAGAATCAAAAACCAAGAACTACTAAATAAAGGAATTTACATTCCAGATACACCTAAAGCTATGTCTGATTATTGGAAAGAATCTGAAAATTATAAAAAACTTATCAATGAAGTTGACACTTATTTGGCCAGTATTAATGAAGATAGTAAGAAAGAATTTGCTGAAGCTCACAAAGCAGCTCAATCAAAAAGAGCAAGACCCCAATCTTCATATACACTGTCATTTGGAATGCAAGTCAAATATTTGCTTCAAAGAAACATCACCAGAATTAAAAACAGTATTGGATTATTTTTGTTTGAAACTATTGCAAATTCTATAATGGGTTTAATTTTTTCATCCATGTTTTACAAAATTATGCTTAAAACAACAACAGCAACATTTTTCTACAGAGGTGGTGCTTTATTCAATGCATTGTTTTTCAATTCATTCTGTTCATTATTAGAAATCATGTCTTTATATGAAGCTAGAGCCATTATTGAAAAACAGAAAAATTTAGCTTTATACCATCCTTCAGCTGAAGCTGTTTCTTCTGTCATATCACAATTGCCTTCCAAAATGGTTACTATGTTAACTTTTAACTTCTTTTTCTATTTCATTTCAAATTTGAGAAGGGATGCTGGTGCTTTCTTTTTCTACATTTTGATGAATTTTGTATGTCTATTAGCCATGTCTCATTTGTTTAGATTTGTAGGGTCTGCCACAAAATCATTCCCTGAAGCTATGGTTCCTGCTGCTGTTCTTTTGCTTGCATTCTCTATGTATGCAGGTTTCAATATTCCAAGTACTTCCATGCTTGGTTGGAGTAAATGGATCTACTGGCTAAACCCTTTACAATATGTCTTTGAATCTTTGATGATTAATGAATTCCATGGCAGAGATTTCCCATGTGCTCAGTTTATTCCTAGAGGTGCTGGCTATGAAGATATTTCTGATGATTCTAGAATTTGTTCCACTTTGGGTGGTGTTGAAGGTCAAAATTATGTCTCTGGGGATGCTTTTTTGGCTGCTCAATACAACTATTATCATTCTCAAAAATGGAGAGGCTTTGGTGTTGCTATTGCCTTTGCTGTTTTCTTTTTTGCCATATATTTGTTATTTACAGAATATAATGAATCTGCTAAACAAAAAGGTGAAATTATTGTTTTCCCACAAGCTGTTGTTAGAAAGATCAAGAAAATTTCTAAAAAAAATAATTCTGTTGATTTAGAATGTAGTATAGATTCTGAATTTAGTACAACTGAAAAAAAGATGATTTCTGAAGAAGATGATGATGATGAAGTTTCTGCTGGCTCTGGTGATGATGGTGTTGGTTTGAGTGAATCAGAAGCAACTTTACATTGGAGAAACTTATGTTATGATGTTCAAATTAAGAAAGAGACAAGAAGAATTTTGAATAATGTTGA